TTTCGCAATCCACTNCTCTACCACCCCTTCGGCACCTGGGCATTCATCCATCAGTCGAGTACAACCTGATCAAAGTTCCTTTCAAAATATTGATAGTTTCTATCGGTAGTTTTTTGTTTGTTGGTCCTAAACAGAAAAGACTTTCGCAATCCACTTCAGGGTATCATTTATGATCAACAACGACTAGAAGCATGGCATTCTACATACGTGCACGTCTAAGAGAATAAGATTTTCTGGGCGTCATCATCCTTTTGCCCTTCTGGATGTCTTGATCCTACACATTGTTCAGTATTCTATCCTTCACGACTTTATTATTTATATTATTCTATTGGATCCTTTTCAGTAGAATCGGCTCCGTGCCGTGACCGTATTTATTCACACGCGTCTAAATATAAGAAATATAGAAAAAAATATTCCAAAAAAAAACCCAAAGTAACGTTATCTGCGTAATCCGTAGTCAAGGATAGAAAGAGGGACTCTTGACATTCACCATGTTTTTTTGGGAAAGCGCACCGAAGTTGACTTCGGGTGTGGTGCAGTAGGAACGGAATTGTCGCGACGCGGCAGAGAAATGCCGCGCGCGAAGGAATGCAGCAGAATGCAGCAGCAAATAAGAGTTACAGGAACGAAAGAACTATCGGTAGAATCATGCCAAAAATAATAATCACATATCGATTGAGTTGTATGAAGAGCGCTAGAACTGTCATAATGAGGCAAATGGCTCGCGACTGCCGCGTGCGGCGGGTCGACTACGCAAAACCGTTCCTACTGCCCGTCTCCCCAGAGCTACAAGCTGCACGTTAGTGCTTTTACTCTATCACATGAATCTGGTACCGATTACCCGGCTAGGATCGGAAGCTTGGTTCAACGGTATCGGCATCGGGGCAAGGAAACGGTCTAACATAAAGATTCGATCCGCTGACCATGCTATGTGTATCGCGCCACATCACTGCATTACACTTGTGCCAAAGAAACTCAGCAGATGCCATTATTGGAGGAAAACCCACCCTACTCGATGGTTTCTTCTACGTTTGCGAAAACCGTCTTCCAACTAGGAAGTTTTAAGGCGAGAAAAGCGCTGAGATGGAGTGGACTCTTCCGCAATTTCTCGTATTTGTCTTGGGAAGGCTTTTCACATCGACGGTCAAAATGATAGTCTTGAAGAACATTCTTTCACTCCCTTCTGGAATCGACATAACCTTCATTTGCAACAGAGGCTAGGAAAAAGCATGTTCCGTCAAAATCACACTGACTTAATTGAATTTCGTACTTCGCACTTATGAAAAGCCGTCAACTTTTCTTTATTCCACTTCTTTCTTCACTTTTTCTTGGGCGGGCAAATTCTCCCTAATGAACTTCTAAATTTTTCATATAACGTGTAGAGAGTGCGTGACGTCTATACTTAATTATTCACTTTCTTTCCATTTAATTATTTCAAAAACTGTAAAAAGGCAAAAAAACTTATAATCTCTTTGTTAGTTTTCGTGGTAGTTCATTGAGTTTGGGACCTTCCATCGTGGTGTTTAGCCGAAGTTATGTAGTCCGAGGGCCCCTAGAGCCCCTCTGTATGGGCCCAGACACGTAATCGCTGAATCTGTCAAATATATTCACCTTGCGTGTGTCCTTAAGAACTTCAACTCACGTTTTTAGTTAAGGATCGCATGCGATTTGAGTTCTGGGTAAAAAATTGCACGCAAAGTGTAACTACATAGTGGGCGAATTTGCGTAAATATAGCTAATTTTATATGCTTAGTATAGAGCGTACCCTTAAATAATTGTATAAGTAAAAGCTCAGCTAATTAGGGATAGTCCCAAGCTTAAGTCAAGTTTTGAACGTCGACGAAGTGCACAGGAAGGTTATGTAGGAGCCATTACACATAACGCTCGTATTTCCCCTGAAGAGCTCTTTTTTCTCCTCATTAACAATTCTATATCATATTGATATATAGTGAGACAAAAAGTTATATTTGAGTAAGTTTCTGGATTAGGGATTAATTTCAGAATCACAATGGACATGTACGATGACTGCTTTTCCCCCAATAGTAATCGTTGGGAATCAGAAATACCACCTAACACTCCCATGGTCCTAGGATTGACTTCCAGTTGATATTCAGCCAGGCCAACCAAGCCTCCGACTCCTCCAATGTTGTTGAGGTGGTACCACTCACTTTTTTAAGAGCAAAATCGCTGAGTTCCACACACACCTGCTGCCTCCCGAAAGCCATTGAGTGTATAAGCCAAAAGAGCATTCAAATTCAAGGTTCCGCAATTTTGAGGGGAGGGTAATGCCGGGCTCATACCGAAACATTACTTTACCAGGTTGAACCACTTTACTGGTGTTATAACCATCAAAAATGGTGAAGGAAAGTGTACTCAGTAGACTTTGAGGGATCTTTTTATGGCCTCATCAGCAAAACTCTCCTTGGACTTCTCGGCTCGTCTCGCCTTCAAGAGAGTTTGATATTTCCAGTACGATCAGTACTCAGTTCATCATGAAGTAATACTCCATAAGCTTAGGCTTAATTTTCTTCACGAACACTTCTCACCACCGCTCAGCTGGGCGTCGTCCTTCCAAATAACCTTCAGGGGTCATTTCCGATTGAGACATATTTCCTGTCTCATTTCCTATCAAGTGGTCCGATGAACCGGAGTGGAGTGGCCATTCAAAGGATAAAGCCTTTCAGGCCATCCCGTTATTAGGATGCGTCCCGTACGTCGTCTTCCATTCAGAATCGCAGTAACGTGCCAAATGCATGTATGGCCCATACCCTGAAATGTGGTACCCAGCCGATGTACAGGTCTCTGATATCATTTTCCGAGCATGATATCAACTAACCGAATCAGAAGGAATGGAAGGTTCGGTTGGCATGGACATATATCGAACCTGGATTCGGGATTTGATCTCCTGACCATGAAAGCGTGATAGAAGCGTTTTTTGTCATTACTCCATCTCCGCCCAAGTGGCCACTCACTGCTATTGAAGTTCCGTTGTGAGTGTGAATTTATACAAATAGAAGATNGGGACCGCCCCTTGACGCACTTTCGCCATGAAAACGTCCTCCTCCCGTCCCGCCCCGAAGCTCCCACTTGAGCGCATCCACATTATAGTACAGCGACTCCTTGCCCTCACGGTGACATAATGATTTATACATAGTTACATTTCTACCCTATTGCATAGTTATCATTAAAAATATCAGGTGAAATAAAACAATCCGTTAGAATACCTTACTGGTGCATCAGTTCACTTCTTTGCCTCATCGCCAATGAATTTTGAAGTTTGATGTGCTTTTCTTTCCAGATAAAGGTTCTAGCATTTATTTGAGGCTGATGTTTGAGATGGACATTGAGTAGGAAGATTTTAGCAGAGGCGCACCTAGAAGTGGAGCAGTTCTAGGCCTTTAGTTTGGTACAAGAGCCTCTTAAATCCCTCTCCACGGCCATTTTCTTCCACTATGTCATCCATTTTCTACCTAACTTCGCTTCGCCATTATTCATCTTCTATAAAAAATAGTTTCCTTTGAATTACGAGGGATCTTATATTAGAATTGCTGCTCTCAGGGTCACCTTATAGGTTAGGAAGGCTCTCCAGCTGCTCTCAGAACAAGTAAAGCAGTGGGAAGAGAAAAATGGATGAGAGGGAAGGCCACATCGGCATCGTTTTCCAGAATTCCAGTTCAATAGATTATTAACTCAACTTTCTATTAGCTTTGGACTTTTTCTATTGATTTAGTTACTGCGAAGTTATGAATTGTTCCCAAAAGTTCATAGAGGATCACTAATGAAAGTCAGGAAAATGGGTGGCTTTGGAATTTCGTGAGCACGCCTCAGTGATGCTACAACGTAAAATTCAAGTTTTTGAGAAAATCCTGAAGCAGGGCAACTGCTGGGGCCTCTAAGCGGCAGATCGAAGGGGTACAGAATAATACTCTCGTAAATCCGCTATGTCCAGTCTTCAAAACGGACCTCTTAAGCATTCGAGGCAAACCCTGGAAGATGTCTACCGTTTATGCCCACACTTCTTTATGGGCCCTTCAAGTTTTATATCTGCCTGCCAAAGAAGCTGTTCTAAGTATGGTCCAACCATCATTGTTGAGCTGTTTCCTGTTTTTTAGACAGAAAAAATCCGAAAATCTGTCAGATTCACAATGCTGCCATAGATTGACAGACGTTTGTCCTTGGCATTGCCTAGACATGCTTGCAGGGCCCACCGAGATCAAGCTGGAGGGACCTATTATTTCAGCCCATATGATTTCCCTCTATTTCGAAAGACTGGCAGTAGACTCATTCAGCCCTCATCCTGAGAGCCCTATGCCAATTTCCTCGAATAGAATGATTTATTTGTAAAATAAAATAGGTAATTGAGATATATGTCAAGGTATCCCTTTTCTGTGTTCTTCTTCTTCTTCGGCAAGACTTAAAAGAAATTGAGTGGATCCCTTCGGATGGGAAGCTAGTGACGAAATGTCTCATCCACTCCCACGTTTCCGATTTAGTGCAGAGGGCATTTCCAAGGGCATCTCTTAGCTTTTTAGGCTTAATAGGAGATCCCAATGATGGAGTAGAGCTCTGCTCACCCCCCATTTGAACGCAGAACATAGTATTTTTTAAGGGATATAGAAGTTCCAGCAAGGAATCCACCAAGGATATTGGTGTCGACATTCACCTACATACGTATAAGGGCGGAGTCAATATTGAATGGGGTAGTTTGAACACTTTAGATAGGCCCCTCTCAAAATTCTGTCTTTAATCCTTTCCATAAATGTTCCAGTAAGGGTCTGCTGACGTTCTGTATCCGTTTTACTCACCGAGACCGCCCGGGGTAGCCGGATGTTTACGGTAAACATTCTTGTTTTCTTTTCGTTCGAAAACAAATTGATAGGATTCTATGGCATTATTTGTATTATCACCATTATCGTTATTTGTATTTATTTGGCTCGTTCATCTCGTCTAATTTTAGTTTTAGCCCGATCACATCCTCCCAAACCGACCCATCGTTTCAGATGACGGACGTGAAGGCGTTCCTCTATGAGATCTGTATTCCAGCCATCGGAGCGCTATGTTTCCTGGCTGCAGTACTTAATATTGCTGTATTCATCTCCAGATTTCATGTGAAATCACGCTCGGCAACGTTGGAACTCACCTACTCACTGGCTTTGTCGGACACATGGACAAGTCTGGTCATAGCAATCTCGCTCTGTTGGAATTCCTACAAGCCTGTTGTTCTACAAATACCAAATAACTCCTATTGCTTCCCTCTTACCTTGGAGGTAAGTAACTCGTTTACCGTTTCCCCGAATCTTAGAAATTTGGTTATCTGGGATGGAATAACCACTTGACTAAACATAGGATTCTACCCTTACTAGCTGGCCATTCCCCGAGCATTACTAGCCTACGAAACTTTATTAGATCAGGCTCCCCCTGTGTATCCTTGTGGTAATACGATGATGATGAACTTTTTGAAGGGCAGTCATACTCGTTGAAAAACATAATTTTCTCTTCAAGGGCTCAGAACACTTCCGAAACTCTTGGTTTGGGGGAAAATACTTCCCACTAACAGGAGAAGTCAGTCACTGCGTTCTACTGGTCAGGGAGCTTTGACATTTTTATGGCATGCTTGTTAGGTATCTCCTCCCATAAAATCTCCTGGGCAAATTATTCCCGGACGATCTGCCCTTTGGATAAATTGCCGTCCTCAAAAGTTAGTCGTTCTTCGGTGGAGAGGATCAAGACCAGTATTATCCGTTAGTGTCAATAGAAACTGGGGCAAATGTCTCGTAAGCAACCTGGCCTGTCGGGAGGAAATTGTTGGATGTTTAGATAAATAAAGGATCAGAAGTAAAATGACCTTTCCTGTCTCTGGACCGCCATTTTTCTTATTTATGGTCTCATAACGGCCCCATCAGCGGACATAGAGCATCGAAAGACAGAAACTTTCGAGAGACTACCCTACCATAATGTTGGAGG